ATTTACATGGAGAATGATCCATGCCGGTAATGGGCTACAACTCAAGATCATGCCAGGTGCTGATGCGGTCAGTGAACTACTAGAAAGTGCATCTCTGGTGGGCATGGGATCATCAGCAATGTACTGTTAGGTAGTTAAACCAAAGAAATTGCAGGCAAGGCAAGGCGATGCCCCTTGGCAGTTATTTCCAGTCATACAAGACCAGGCTCCTGTCAATTTGAATGGGGAGAGGCCTATGAACTTGAAACTGAAAGCTGTGCTGATGTTTCACCAACATACTTTAAAGCACAGGAAACATGAGGGGAAAATTCCATAAAAAGCTGCAGTCTTTGGCTCAAATGTATTTTTAGGTTGTCCCAGCTACTATGCCTACACATATAAGTGGGATCCTGCTTATGACTTTATCAGCAATTTTACTGAAGTGTGGGACTTCCTTTTACGTGATAAGGAATTCTGTGCAGACTCTTCTCAGGGTCTTTTCAGGATACAGGGCTTTTCTGTGGGACACAGATACAATGAGACTAGCAACTGCCGGCCATCTTATGCCATTTCTCCTGTACAGAGCTTTCAGAATGGCACAGCTCATCTGGTCCAGTCCATGACCTCCTGAAGTTTCCCCATGCTGAGATCATTCCACTGACTTCGTGGAAGCATGAATCAAAGCTCTGGTTCCCACATTCCAGGCTTCAAAAGGCTCAGCTCCGCATTATCTTGGTCCAGATCTACACACCTGTATGCCAGCTTTGGTCTTCAGCATCTGTTCTTCTTTAATCTAAACATGCTTGTAAGGCTAGGCCTCATTGCTTTATCCTCTTTGCCCCTCAGTGGTGGAGAACATCCCCCTGAACTCCGCAATGCAGTCACTCGGTTCCTTCCACCGTGGACCGAAGACCTCTTCAAGCAATCTGCACTTTAAAGTTTTTCTGTACTTTCTACACAAATATACTGCGTTCAAAAGTCTTTTCCTTAAAAAACTGTTTCATACAGGACCCTGTGTTGAGTTCTGGAAAACATTGTTCACTGGCTACTGCAAAATTACTGGGACTAAAACCAGTTTCACCAGCTTTAATGTAAAACTAGGCATTAAAAGCACTTTCCAGTATTGAAAGGTTACAGCTAACTGAGCTACGCTATTATTTATTAACCCAGGGAAAATGCAACAGGCATAGATATACATACCCAGATGCCGCGTTGCCTGTTATTTTCTATGTGAGGCGCGTCCACCATGTTGGAGCGGTCAAGATCCGCTTGTGAACAAATTCACTTGTACTGAGAGGTGATGAATCTCAGGATTAAATCAGCCACAACTTCCTTATTGCTCAACCGATTTTCACCGAGTCTGTTTTGTTATAATCCTCAGACATAGAGTAATCTAGGTTGCACTGGCTGCTCTCGGTAGCTTTTACTTCTTTAATAACTGATCGTGATAATTAGCCGTCCGGACCAGCGGGAGAGTATTCAGTCTGCACCTCAGCAAATCCAGTGTGTGAATCACTTCTAATCTTTCTACACAGAAGGACGAAGCTAAAGTTAGCTTCTTATTTGCCAGCATCTTGTTCAAGTTTTCCCGTTCCACCTTAAATGGTGCAGCAGTCACATTGACTTTTGTAATGAGATCACCGTTTCCTTCTGACGACTTTTCCAACTAGATCCCTTTCTTATCTGCAAAGAGATGCTGTGGTTGCAAGTTTTCCTTTCAACAGAGCAGAAGAACATTTTCCATTGTTTGCCCTCCTACTTGTTTGGAATAAAAACCTGAAGACACACTGGCCTTTAGAAGACTGGACATCCCTGATGTCAACACAGCACAGTGGGCCAGTGTATCATTATTCCTGTGCCAGTCACATCTTGCTGTGGGCTCTTGGCAGTGATGTGGGCGTTTTGCTTTGCACACCTGACCAGTTTTTCAGTAGTTCAATCAGAGAACTTCCATTTCTTGAGATGTATTGTTACAGTCTTTTCTTGCTTTGTAAGTGTGAGTTATCTTTAGTTTCATGGTTCTTACCTGTACAAGAGCTGCTCAGGAGAGAATCATATTCAATTAAATTATAACTCAAGGCCTTCACAAGTCCTCTTGCAAGACTATTAGCCCACACTGTAGCTGCAAATCCTGTAGGCTATAGAAAGTAATGTTTATTCACAATTATATGGTCATGCTCCATGGTAAAACTTTAGTCCAAGTTTTACCATGAAAGAAAAGAAAAAGCACACACCAGTGCTTGAGAATTACAACAGATGAAGCCAATATTTTACTGACCAATACACACTTTGACTGTCAGAACACATTTTATTATTCTTTCAAAATATGAATGTTAAAACTGACTGACCGAATGACAGCAGTCATCGGTGTTCAGTTGCTTCATATACCTACTACTGCCACATGCAGCATTAATCTAGTGAAATTAAAACATACAAAAGGTGCATAATGAGCATGATCGTCGTGAGCATTTTGCCTGAAGCCATAAAGGACCACGTTCAAGTATATTTGAACAATAAAAACTCACAGGAAAGAAAACTTCAGTGGCATCTTTGGGAAACACTTTTCAGCTTTTCAGCTTTTAATACTTTAAAAGTCGGCTTGTTCAAAGCTAAAATAATACCTCTAAGAAAAGTACACAAGCAGTAATCAAGTTTGCAGAAGCCCAGTGTAGGATATTATATGGAAGCCCATTCCTACCAGGTAGAGGAGGAGAAACAGAAAGCAAAAAGAAAAAATTACCCATTTTTCTCCACGTTTCTGGCACCAGTAGGTCAAAAAGTTGACGTAGTATCTCGAAAGAGTGACTTACTTAAAATACTGATTTAGTATCTCTTTATAGTGACTTATTATCCTGAAATAATTATGTACCCTCTTGAAATTGAATAACTATTTCAACATAGTATCTATAAATCTTGAGAATATAAATAATTTCACAAGTCAATATTTTGAGAAAAGTCAGTAAAGATACCAGGTCAATGTTTTGTGAAAACAAGTCATTATTTTGCGATATTATTTTGAAAAAAAAAAAGGAATTATTTCAAAATGTAGTCAATATTTGAAGAACGAGTCAACATTTAGAGAACATTAAGTTATTATTTTCAGATACCAAGTTGATATTTTGAGAAAATAAGCCATTGTTGTGAGATATAACCGCAATACTGTTTAGAGATATTAAGTCTATTTTGAGAAAACAAGTCATTATTTTGAGATAGTAAGGCAATATTTCAAGAAAATAAGTAATTAATTATTTTGAGATACTAAGTCATACTGCTGCCAGAAGCAGACAAGGAGGAGAAATAAAAAATAAAATAAAATAAAATAAAAAGAGAAAGGAGGAAAAATAAAAAATGAAAAATAAAAAGATTAAGGCGATGGCAGCAAAGGGCTTCCATAACATTACCAGTGAGAAAATTCATTAAATGTAAACTTTGAACTCAATCAGTATGAAAGTAAAGGAATTAGCCACAATATGGGATGTAAAAGCTATTTGGTTACTTTGATGCATATATACTGTTTTTATTACTAAAAAAATAAAAGAATTATGCCTCAGATAAGCGAAACTTTCAAGCATTATGTAAATGAGAATTACGCATTTTTAATTCTTGAAACTCTTCTACATCAATCAGAAAGAACAATGATCATACTTTAAGGGTCGTTTTCTCAGATATGGACTAAGCCTAGACTTAAACTACAAAGCCAATGGAGTTTAATCATCTAGGCTTGGGCTTAATCTGGGTCTGGGCACTAGCACTAAACTGGCACTAGGTGTACCAGGGCAGCCTAACTGTGGCTTAAAGCATCTCACTCTTATCCGATAGAAGATTCAGTACATTCATTGTAAAGCGCCTACGCAGTAAATCACAGTTTTAATGCACTGTAAGGCACAATGTGTCATGAAAGACATCAACACCACAGCGACAATGTCTTTCAACATTATAACCCAAATATAGCCTCAGTGGGCGTTTATGTTCACTGCACAGTGTTCCATCACGAAAGAAATGACTGCAAAAATATCACATTTGATTTTAACATAAAGTCCGGCTCCGCAGACTGATTTCTGAATTGCTCTCTGGACCAACAGACAAACTGTATCTCCTGTATTTACAAAGATTAAACATGCAACAGTGGTACACTGTACCATCACTGTACGCATAACTAGTGCAATTAAGCTTAATAAACAGCAACCAAACCAAATATACAAACACATTTCTTTGATTCTATCCAACAGCATGTAATTAGAAAGATCTGCAGCGAGTTTCCTAAAAGCACAACAGCACGAATGTCAGTGTAAGACGATGAGTAATTAGAGCTGTGAACGCAGCCTGTAGTTAAAATGATCTTATATTCTTCCTTCTTTTGGAAACCCTGTATCAGAAAGGCTACAAGCTCAGTAAAAAGGAACACTGGCAGGAAGGGGCTTGTTTAACTTCCTATGAATGCCATTCTAGAAACTTTCAGTAACACTTTACTTGAACTCTGCTATATATCATTGATATAGTTGCGCCATAAACATGTCACGGCAGACGTCACATGCTGTCAGGAGTGGTCATCATCACATGAGCCGTCATGGCGTCAAACAAGTAACACTAGCTATGGATCCTGTACTCAAGATGCTTTAGAAGTGCATGTATAAGGTGTTCTAAAAAGAATTTGATCGTTTTTTCATTTATAGTTAGAGGCTAGCAGGCTAGTGTGTTAGCAGTTAGCAACCAAGGCTAAATCATTAGCAGCACAGACAGCTGCTTTTTGTTAGCCAGTAGATAAACAGTAAATGACAGACGCCTTGTTAAGCAACAGATTTAAGCTAGATTTGCTACATCAGGCCTTGAACAAATCCTGCAGTTGCAAATGAGGCAAGAATCTGTCAACCTGATGGTGAAACTAGGATGTTGGGCTTGTTGAAACTTGAAACTAAGAAACATTACTTGTTTTTTTAATTTGGATAAAAATATTACCAAGTTGTCTGTTCTGTATGTACCAGTTAGATAAACCCACTTAAAGCCTGTAAAGAGCACTTAGGTAAATATTAAGCAAATATTATTTCAATAAATAATACTTACTATGTTTAAAAAGCCCGAAATGGCCCGGCATAAAGCGACCAAGTGTTAGAACATTAGTGCCTACAATGATCTTCTGAACAAATATTATGGAACATGATTTATGAAATCATATAAAAAGTTATTCATGATGATAATATGCCCGGTATTATTAGGTGTTATGTATGCCATAAAATGCCTCTTTAATGCATTTATAAAGCATTCTGAATACAGGATTCATAGGAAGTGTCACCATCAAACATTATGCCATCAGTCATGACAGTTACCGGTGATGGTAACATGACACTGTCATAACATCTCATAACAGCATATGACATCTGCCATGACATGTTCACAGCATGGTTATGTCTGCGATAAGTAGCAGGGTTCAAGTATGTGTTCAGCTTATAATGCATTCTTGAGACATTATAAACATGGCTATGCATTACATTTGTAGCCAGGTTTACTATAATGAATTGTTATAAGCTGCATTCATAACATGTTATATCAATGCCAAAGAAACTCAGAATGAGCTGAAATAACGCATTATAACATGCTATGAATGTTCACACCTGTCTAGTCATAAAGACATGCTTAGTCTTGCCATGATTTCTAAAATATTAGCACTTAAGTTACCTCTCTTTCTCAGTAGGGGGTTGGAAACTTCAGTTTTGGTACTAGACTGTGTTGGAAAACTTTCCTTTAGTCTAAAATTCAACTACAAGTTCTCAGAATTAGGTTATATATGTCTAGAAATAATAATCTATATACATGATGGCAAGTGTTTGCATTGTCACTTCATTTTAAGATATGTTACAACACTGAAAGTGACAATAAGCTATTATTCTACTGCAGATAAAAATAATTCATAAACTGTTAGCACATATTTATGACTAGGCAGGTTGTTATAATGCACTATGCAAGCTGGGACTTGACAATATAGAACACTACAATACTTTTAAAGCTTGTCAACAATTCATAATGAAATATAATGCATGTTTATCAGTGTTTAAAACACCTTTTGAATGCATTATAATGTGTAATGAATGTTCACAGGTTCTTATAGACATGGCATTCTTAGAAAGTGTTATAAACTCTGAGGTTGTAGTCCCAGCACATCCAGAAGGCTCACTCACTTTCCCTCAAACTTATTGCACAATACCCTTCCCCTGAATCCTTCACCTAAACCTAATGTTAGGTCAAGAAAACTAGCGTTTATCTGTATTTCCAACTAAAATCCATGAAACTAACAAGCAGTTTCAGTTATTTTGCACAAAAGAAGCTCAAAAAGATCAGACTTGCTAATTTAAAGTTATGAAGTTGTGTTAAAATGTCAGCTGTCCCACTGAATTCCATTCTCTTTTCTGGCGCTTAACCAGCAGTCGGTCAGTAGAATGCACTGGACTGGCATCTCAGCGATGACGGAGAATATATTACAATCAGTAGGTAGATTTTGTATTCACAGGTTACCCTTCATCCTTAAAAGTGAATTGTCACACAGCAACTTGCATTTTCTTGTCGATGCTAATTAATGTGGGACTACGTCCAGCTGATCACGAAGTTCTGATTAAGGTTCAAACCAAGGTCGCTTACTGTCAACACCTGGAGGAACAGAAAGAGACACGAATGTTACATTTAATATTGATGAGAAGCTGTTCAGCCTTGTAATCCCACCCATTTAAACCAAAATCTGTTAGGACCTCTAACCTGATTGGCTGCGTAGCTGAACGCAGCTTCTTGGGAGTTCACGGTAACTGAGGTCGGCGCGCTCTTCACTCCGTAAAAAGAAACGGTCTCGACTGTGATGTAACTTGCCTCCAAGTGACTGTGCACCACCTCTGAGGTCATTGTGTTCTGGAGGGAAAAAGGTGAGTGTAGATCATAAATATCGACTATACATAAAAGGTGCAATTATACCACAGTTAGTTCTGACCTTGCAATCCGATTGGCTGAAAAGACATGAAATCGAGCGGAGATTTGGATAAAATACGATATGCCCCTATGAGCACCTCATCTACGTATCATTTACATGAAGCATGCTCTAATTCATGCAGATGTTTCAGGAGGGAGCCAATAAAACGACATTCAGCAGCAATGGCTGTGCTCATAGGTGGAGTCTGAGGTAGAGCAGTGAGTGCACTGCTCCCCCTACTGGCCAAACCTCATAATGTTAACATTATGACAACTGAAATTAATAAAATGTGAATTAAACAAAACGTTTTTTTAAAGACTTTTTTTAAGACAGCAGAATGATGTGATTGTGTAGTGTGATTGTCTTCCTAAAATAACACATTTAAACCCTTTTTTATGCCAGTGTATGAGATGCTTTCGCACTAGCTGTGTTTTGTATTGTTTATTTTTTGGCCCGTGTCGGTAGTATAAAACAAAAGCACGGACCATGGAATAATGACAGCATTTGATTGTGTTAATGGGCATGTAAAGTAAGTACATCCATATTCGTACTGGACTGCCATGTGCACATACTATTAGTATTACTATTATTTTGTTTTTTTTTTCTTATTAGATGATAAAGACCAAACAAGCGTTTTCTCAGGCTGTTAAACTACTGTGCTCAAACACACACACACACACTGTGCTCACTGTGTTGTAATTTATCATTTTTGTCATCATGGTTTCTAAATAAATATAAAAAATAAACTGCAATACAATTGTAATAAATGTACAAGATACAACAAAGAAGATCAACAGTTTAAGAAGTTTTGTACTGAGTATCAATATAGTTATTTTAATCCATGATCTTCCGTAGCCAGTTTGATAGAATCAACAGTCTCTGATTGGGCAGAGAATGTTGTTTTTATAAAATATCAAATGCGCCGTCTTGTACATGTATGTTTAACTAGGATATTCAGAATAATGTACTGATGTGAGATACAACAGCGTATGATCTTTTATAAAGTGGTTCTGAAATTTTAATGGCTGCACTATGTTTAAAGCCAGTGTAAAAACCCAGATATACATATGTCCGCACACATCAGTTGCATTCTGTTTTAACTCTGCATGTGACTTTTCATACCTGTTTCAGTCTGAAGGTGATGTAGGCATACTGGTCAGTCTCATAGGTGTCCAGCGTCTCCCCGTCATCCCAGAAAAGATCGCCCTCTGCCAGGCCCTCCTCAGTCAGACACACTATCAAGCGCAAAGGCTGACCACTGCTCACCCACAGAGTCGTGTTGGGTCTCTGAAACACACACATGCACAACAATAACACAATGTACTCCTGGTAGCCTCTGCAAACTTCAACATGCGAACCATTTAACCCTATCAAACCTAATGTCCAGAGACTTCAGCTTTGACCCCTTTAACTTATATCTACCACCAGAAGTCACATCGCGTGCATCAGAAACTTTTTTTTTTATTCTATCCTATTCGAGCCGACTTAGTTTTACCAGAGAAGATCCTCTAATGTAGTTTGTAAGGGATTCAACTGGCCAATTCGTATGACCTTAAGCATCTGTGTTTACTCATATTACCCCAGATAGCCTGGTTCAAAACATAACAGTCTGGACATTCACTCCAGTGTTATGATTAGAATTAAACGAACCAACAAAAACCAGATAGAATAGGATTAGGCTAATGAAGTGAACTCTTTCAGTTTAAGCACTACAAAAGTTGCTCTGCCCTGCAAAAGGTACCTTCTCCTTCTGATTAGCCCACCATTAAAGTGAGCACTTTGCTGGAAATAACGTTATTAAGACCGCTATTGCAATGAGTAAATTTGATGAAATCTTGCTGCTCTTAGCAAAATATCACTTACAAAAATGTGCAAAGAGCTACATCTCCTACCTGTGTAGGTATGATGGATCCTTCTCTGAGATGCACGTTGATTTTGTCTAGAGGAGCATGAAGCTTGACCTCTTCGCCCTTGCTGACTAATGAGTCACCCTGTGACACACAGTGACATCCACACATAATTAGCAAATCTAAAAACTCTTTGCAGTTTTAGATCAGACCTGCAGATTCAAGTCACATTTAACTGTTAAAGCACAGCTGTATGGTTTATGGTTAAAGGACATACCGTGTAGAAATCATACCAGAGGCCCTGAGGCAAATAGCCCACGACGTAATCCACACCAGGGTCCAAAACTGGTGTCACCAACAAACTCTTCCCCCACAGGAACTGTTTGTCTATGCCATAGGTCTTCTGATCTGTAGGGAACCTGCAATATAACATGAGCAAAACAAGATTAGAGAACCTGAATAAAAATGATCTTTACGTACCAATACTGCTATCGCTTAGAGATGGCACCAAATCAGATGCCAGGTATCAGTATCAGGCTAATTTCAGCAGAAAATGTTGGATTGGTTATTCTAGGGAAATAATAAATCTGAATGAATACTCCACCTTGAAATGTATTCAATGGACAGCTATACTGCTTTCCACTGTGCAGTGCTTCAAACGATATTAAATCAATGTAATTAATCTTTTACTTTTCATTTTGGCACACTTTAGTAGCTTTTAGAGAAAAAAAAAATCAATTCTTTTCAGCCAAATCTCAGATTTTCATTACTAGCACAGGAAAAGAAAAAGTGGTATTATGCCATTTCCACTGTTACACATTGTGAATACAATGTATCTTGCATTATTTTAAAAATGCAGAAGTCATTTAATAGCATTGCATTTTTAAAGGTGGGCCAGCATTACTATGACAAACAATTTAACTTTACTGGATAGCATGAATATCCTTATCAAAGCACCCACAGAAACACTCATCTGGAACTGTGACCGGTCATGATGACAGTAAAAAATGAGTGGTTTGAGGGGTCAGTTGCAATTGCAGTCATCACCAACAGGTATTGCAAAGACCAACACTATGATAACGATTAACAATCAAAAGTCTGGGTGCATTTTCATGAAATGTCACATACACACAACATACAACATATACAAGTCTGACTTAGGAGTCTCAACTCAGACTCACACCTCACAGACTTGAGACTCCACTTGGACGCGCAATCCAGAGACTCGACTTGGACTTGAACCTTAGACACCTGAAACTCTAACTGGACTTATGAGGTAGTTAAAGAGCCTTAATGCTAATATTGCTACATGCGAGCTAAAGCTACTGTGCATCAATTTGATATCACTAAGCTACATGAAACTAAGGCGGGCTGTGGCGGTGCTCTGAAGAGCTGTGCTGCCTTATGAAACTGTTCTACAGTAGCGCTTAATTACATATATACCCATAAATAAAACCTCTAGGTAGGATATTTTGATAGGCTAAAACTCCTGATCAAAAATACTGCCCATGTTAAAACTATGAGGCTAAATTTAGCTTCATTTTCACCAGCTTCTTGTTTGAATGTTCCCGTTCCACCTTAAATGGTGCAGCAGCTGTGACTAGCTATCACAAACATTAGCAAACAAGACAAAATACTGACCTGTCGGTTCTGTGAAACAGCAAAAATAAGTTAATGTTACTCAGCACTTAGGCAGAAATAGATAAACCTCCTCATATCAGGCCTTTCAACCCTCCATGAAGCTGAAGTCAGCTTCTTTTTCGCTGGCTGCTTGTTTGAATTTACCCATTCCATCTTAAATGGTGCAGAAGTTCAGAATGTGCCTGCTGCACCATTTTGGTGGAACAGAAAAAGTCGAATAAAAAGCTGTCGAATGTCCTGAGAAAATGTCCTCAGAAAAAATGTTACCACCAATAAAACAATAATCAGCAGTGATATTAAGCCTTAAGCATGAGTCTGTACTGGATTAGCCTGAGTGCAGGTACGTTTGTAGAGCTTTTCCAATCAAGCTATGAACAGAACGAAAAGATCTATCGTGTTTCAGTGAACATCAGATGAAGAACAGAGAACTGCAGGGAAGCCTGCTTCTTTTGTTCTGACTTCTTTTCATCTGCCCTCAGTCTGTATGTGGAAATGTACACTGACAAAGCCTTTTTTAACGAGGCTGCCAGTCTAATGACGTGAGTTCAGTGCGCATTAGCTTTAGCTTACATGTAGCAATATTTAACGACCTCGTAATTCAGAAGATCTCTCACATGATACGACTTCACATCTCTGATGTGCATCTATGCTTACAAGAAAGTCAGGTATTGCATATGTATGTGTGTGTGTGTTTGGGGTAACAGGGTGAATGTGTGTCTTACTCGAAAAACAAGGGTCTGGCAACAGTTTGTCCGCTGAGGTGTGCATGATGAAAGAGCGTATAGAGGAAAGGAAAGAGGGAATAACGGAGCAGGAGAGCTTCCTTCATTGCTGTTCGAGCAGCTGTACTGAATACAGTCGGATCCTGTGCCTGCAGAAAACACAAAAACAGTTACAAAAGTATTAGATTAGAACATACAAAGCTCACTATTCAATGTAGCATCTCTGCATATACTGATTCATTTTACTGACACAATTCTGTTTTTCAGTTTACTGACTTTTACACTATTCATTCATGTAGAAAGGATCATGTCTGCATTTCAATCAAATAAACTTAATGCACTTTTCAGTGTTTGTGTTTTGCAATATAGCTTCTCATACAGGCTAAAAAGGGGTGATCTTACTGTGAAACACTGCACAGTAGATTAGATAATGTTTGTATAACTACCCAGGCTGAGAAATTTCCTCAAATACACACATACCTTGCTTTCTTTAGTGTTATGGTTCCTGGTGAAGGGATAGAAAGCCCCAAGCTGAGTCCAGCGCACACACAGTTCTTCAGTGGTGGTGTCTGAAAAGCCACAGATGTCTGCTCCCACCAGTGGAATGCCCAGAAGGTTAAAAGTCAGCATGCCTGGATGGAGCCAAAAACAAATTCAGAATAAACAGACAGTAGCAGTAAACTTTATTTGTGCAATATTTGTGCTGGAGTGAGAGTTTATTTGAGGATGGAGAAAAACAATCACCACAGTACAGTGACATAATATTCTGGGTGTATAAATGGTAGTAAGACTGACGCCCAAGTATCAACGTCTTATTACTGAATTATTATTTAAATATGTTTAATGTGTAGTAAGTCAACTACTAGATCAATAAATTACCAACATGCATTTCTGTCTTAATGCAAAAGATTCCTTTTTTCTTTCCAAGGATTTGGCCGGTAACTTCTTCTATAAACAAACTTTACTTACTTATAATACTAACATAACTAGGAGCTCTCCCCGCACACAGAATCAGAAACACACACACACACACACACACACACACACACATATACATATACATATACATAAACATATACATATAACACATCTTTAAAAATCCCAATAAATTCATATCATGGGGCTTGGAGTGTTTCCACTCCTAGAGTTTATGTTTAATTAGTCATTGTTTAGGTACCTGGAATGGACATGTATAAATCTTTCCATTGGCTCCTGTTGTCCCCTAACCAGTGGCCCGAGTACACTCCCTGACTCGGAAATGTGGAGCGGGAGATCACAAACGGACGCTTCCCCAGGATCTTCTTTAAAGCACTGAAACCAAACACAGTTACACAACATACCTGTTAGCTTACACTTCACTTTAGCCTAAATTCTACATTCTTAACATTTCTAAACAAAACAAAAAGATTTGAAGGTTTCGAAGTTTCTTATATAAATGCGTGTATGGGCAAAAATTTATATCACGGTATAATTAAGATTACTAACCGTTTCAGTATATAAACACAGTATAATGTATTTGTGTATATTTTTTTCCAAATAAAACCATTTTGCATGCTTAAGTAAACCTTATTTTGTAGATTAACAATTGGCATATTATTCACTTTTACTTTTAACAAGAACCCTATTTAACAACTGAAGTACATCTAAAATATTTTACTGGCCAAAATAGTAAAAACAGAAATTAACATTATATAAACAGATGTCAATATTGCTTATTAACTCTAATAAGATAAAGGCGAGCGCATGTAAAGCCCACAGCTCTGTGCCTGGCAAAAATGCAGCTGAATGTTGTTTTTTGTACGAAGGTTTCATATATGCGTCTCCTACACTCGAGCTTCCATCTACAAGCGTTGCAGGAATTTGGTAAATATTACAAGCCATTCACACCATCAGTTTTAGCTGAGAAGCTGAGGAGCCTCTTGGCTTGTAGGCTGAGACCACCTCATCGTCTGAACCAAGGAGCGCTGCTGAACCTAGCTAGCGTCCATGCTAAGCTAAAGTCTAACAGCTATTCTCCAACATAGTGGATTTTCCGTCCATCCCCCTTTCTCCGCTACCTCATTAACTCATTGCAATCTGATGTTGCTCCTTTGAGAACAAACTGGACAAACTGACCTCAGGCAGCAACTCAATACAGGAGAGGTGAGGGAATCAGTGTGTTTTAGACTGTTTGTATGTCATGTTATCTGCTTTTATGTGCGTACTGGTAAAACAGTAATCGACTTAGCGAATTAACCGGCCCACTACTCATACATATAGGGGTGGGCAATATGGCAAAAATACTATATTACACCATTTTTGGGATTTCAAGACATTATATATCAAAACATTTCACAACACACAATATGCATCACAATTTTTGTTTTTCAAAATGGAACCTGTAGTGCTACATAAGAAAAAACACTATAATACTTATAATAAATGCACAACTACGATGATTTTTATTAAATCTTTTACTAACTGCTGCACAAAATCCAATTAAACAGGCAGAACATGTAGTTAGTCAGTGTTCTTTAAGTAGTGACAATTTCCGTATGTTCAGAATATGTATCATAATAATAATCTGAACGCACTTCCTGCTGATTTTAACAAAAACTCCTTTTTGTTTTTATTACTACGTTGTGGAATTGTTACTTAATTGTTTAGAGCCAGATGTCTGGAGTCTTAAACGCCTCTAAAAGCTACCTCACAGGACGTTATTACACAAGATTGTTATGAAAATGTCTTCTAATACATTTTTTGTGCCTGTTTTTAGATAAAACTTTGGCTTAAACACATTTTTAAAGGCATGTGTGGTGGAGAGGTACTTGCAGGGCATTGTAAGACAAAATAGTTGAGAACCAAAGAACCACTATTTTACCATCAACATAACAACTCAGATGTGTGTTGGCCATGTGTAGTATATTTGTAGATATCATGACCCCTGTTTCACATCACCACCTCTGTAAAGAAAATGTGAGCCTGCAAGTTCCTTTACAATAAACTGTTCCACATAAAAACAGTGAATTTGGTTACATCTCACAGACGAATTATAGAGAATTTTTTTAAAAAGGACAGAATTCCCTTTTAGAGATCTGACAACCATTGGTTTATTCACAACCTTTTGCCTTTGCATGAAGCATTGCTCATATTTTAAGAACAGACTTGCTGAGGGGCAGCAATGAAAATGGGCAATTTGGCTAAATCTTGCATATATCGTAAGCCAGTATGTATATTATGGTAAAACAAACAAAAGTACATAAGTAAGAATCAACTTAGTTTGGGGAATTTCTGGTTTCTGGCCTTCTAGAATTGTGCAGCCCCTGTCAATGATGTAGGTGAATGTGTAGGAATGTGTGACTTGCACGTATGCGCTACCTTGCTGAAGCCTTGGCCTCCATGAGTCCAAACAAGCTGTGCAGGTTGTAGTGAGAGGTGATTTTCTGGCGTGCAGATGCACATACTGTCTTAGCCCGCAGACTGCCGCCTAGAACACCTACAGAAAACAACAGACAACTAAATCATAAGACAACACCGGCTGAATGAATACACAGAGTCATCAAAGGTCTATAGTTTATCCTTAAAGACAACGTTCACTCGGATTTGGTTTTTAATGGTTAACTTGAACCTATCAGGGTCCAATAAACTAAAATATGCTAATATGCTGAGGATTACAGGTGGTGACAAACCTTGCTTACAGCTACAGGACACACTTGCCCTAATGTAGCTTACTTCTTTGAAATGTTTGTTAATGTGTTAACGAAAATAAATAAATGATATTTTTTATCAGATAAACTGTCATATGTGGGTGTGTAGAGCTGTGTAACAGCAAGTAGTGTTCTACTGTAGTAGCTTAGCACGTTGCAGCTTCACCACACTACGGCACAGGTTCATTCCAGATCACTGAAGCACGTTCTGAGGGAAAAAACACTCAAATCTGAGCAGGTAAAACTGTGTATTTGTGTGTGAAGCTGTTAGCTTAAGCTACTTTTGCCTCAATATAGTTATTAGCACTAGAAGTTAGCTTAGCGAAGAAGGCCTAAACAGCTTTACACACCACCACGCAGGTTCATTCTGGGACCTGAAACCTAAACCACCAGCTGACACTGCATTGAGGCCTGTTTAGAGAACAAAGACTGAAATCTGAGTGAGAGAAACTGAGTGACTGAGTGAAAGACAGAATCTTTCTGATTGACATTACAGTGGGGGCAGCTGTTTCTGCTCTGCCTCGTGTGCAGCATAGCGGGGGGAAGCCATGGGTTCAGAAGTGGGGCGTCAAAGGGGTGTTCACAATTTGCACTTTATTAGATCTTTGCATTCTTAATGAGTGTTGAGGTTTAGAGATGCTATTTTAGTTTCCTGGGCATAACAATAATACATGAATATATTTAGCAGTTTAGAATTCAACATAGATTATTTTTTGTGTTTTAAATCCTGATCTTCAGGGTTAAATCTGGCCTGTGAATCATTTTGTTTTCATTTTTCTGCAGCTAAATATTTTCATCTGTTTGGCAGATTTGCCTCAACCTCACCAGACACTGTGGCTGAATACATACATATACAAAAAAAATCAACAGGCCGATCAGAACATTATTAAAAGCAGAAATGGAGCGAATTACGCAAGATGAACCAAACAAAAACTTTTCTGACACTAAATCACAAAAATGTTCATACTAATGACAAGAGGCCTTTTTGTTGGACTGCATCAGCTGCATGATATGTGTCACACAAGTTTCTACCATGCTACCATTTCTAGTGTTAGGTGGGTGCCCAAATATTACCACACACTTCTTTTTTTCAATAAATACAGAATTTTTAAAACATACTACTACTGCTGCTACTACCACTACAGCGACTACCACTACTACTGGTGCCAAACTTTGCAAGTAGTGGCACTACGGGTGGGAATCTCTAGGAACCTCACGATTCGATAGCAATGATGCGTTATTCGCATTTATAAGCAGCGCAGTTGGTTTCCTGATATGTTAAATCTGCAATGAGAGACTGTCAAACAGTAAAAAGTCGCAAAGATGAAGTCGCTTCTCTTCCAAATTTTCTCGTTCCACCTTAAATGGTGCCGCATTTACATTTGGCGCCTCAGTTAGAATTTAAGGTGGAACGGGTAAATTCGAACAAGAAGCTGGAGAATGAGAAGTGACTTCAGCCTCGTAAGACAGCCGAATGTCAAGAGACATTTTACAAGAAACTGCTCTAGTTTTGAGGAAAAGTTTTCTGGTGGAGATGGGAGGAAAGCGGCTGTAGGCGAAGCTTAAATCTAAGTAAATCTGCGCTCTCGTTTATATTGTTTAGTCTACATTAGGACATTAACACATACTGAGACATACAGAACATAACATGTTGTGGCTCCCAAGGTGGTTTGATTTTTGTTGAAAGGACAAAATGTTAACATTTGTGTTGTGACTCCTGATCTAACCTGGCTTTAATGCAGACAGAGCCGGTCGGATTTCTCACTCATCCAGTTGTGTTTTTGTTATGTGCCGCCACAGACTGTCCGGGCGCAGCACTTACCCACTTCCAAGTTCCGCCTTTTGCGTTCCGTCAACATTACGTTATAAATTAAATATTTAGAAAATCAATTTTTGACATTTGTGAATCGATTCAGAATCGTTCACGTCCGCATCGTGATGCATCTAAGAGTCAATTTTTTCCCGCACCCTTAAGTGGCACTATAACTGAATCTTTCAGACAGACATATAGTTGTATGGACTGAAAAGTTAAGTTCAAAACATTTAAAATTTACCCAAGGCCGTTCTTTGAGACGTTTAGTGGTTTACATGATATTTTTTTCCCAGCAAAAGCCAAAAGAAAGTAATTATGATGGAAACGCATCTGCGGAATAAAAGCAGAATTAAAAGTAGAATAAAGTCATATGACTATGTGCTTCTGTTTTTGCTAGCCTGTAAGAACAAAACGTAACAGAAAGCAGCAGATTCCAGTGTGCTAATGAATGAAATGTAAAATAGAGCCACACAATGAAGCAAAACAGCAACGAGAAGCTGCTCAGCATTAGTACAGTATTAGTAAAACATGCATTTTAAATAGCAGTCACAGTCATAGTAGTAATCATAGAAGCAGAAGTAGTAGAAGATTTACTAATGAGCACCTGGTGGTTCTCTAAAACACTGTTGGGGCAGCCATCGATACAATGACCCATCAAGAAATTAGATGCTTCGTTCATGTCCTAAAACCTTAAATCAATACATCTATCAAGATTCAATCACACAGAGCAAAATGACACTTTTTTCCAATGGAATTTGCCACAATGTGCGATTTCGTGCCGAAGACTTCCAGCGCGAATAAATTTCACATACAAAATTTTGGTGTAGCTGAAGTTCGACACACAAAAGCTACTGCTTTAGCTCTGTTCACCTCTAAAAAAGGCCAAACACATTCAATTGGTGTCTAAGAACAAACCTCTCTGTGCTTTTTCTTCCCCTCTGGCTATAATTAAAAAGATTAAAGATTAAAGACTGCGTAATACACAGTCGGAAAACTATTAATATCTTTATTATTGTGGTTTTACTGTTTGTTTTAGACTGTTAGCTTCCTGGCTAACTGCAGCTGCACAGACGTCACCCCACTGCCACCAACTACACCAGTTATCTTTTTTGACACGACTCCATAGGCACCATTAAAGTCCCGTGAGCATAAATTTATCTAATATGATTATGTTCACTTTTGTGTTGTTACTGTTTGTGGTTGGCTCGTTAGCTAGCCTGCTAACTGCACCAACAAGGATTATATTTATCATTGCTAATCTTTTGGACCAGCCTCAGTCACAATTTCTCAAGGTGTGAACTGCAAATGTTCGGTGTGACTGTGGCTTCATGTGGTTAAAATTTTTGCGGACGAACAAAAACGAGACATTTTTTCCCCTGTAGTTTTTAAACCAGACCCCCTTGGAGAAGACAACTTGTCTAGGGGCCCCCAGGACATTTGGACTGTGTTTTTGAAGCACTCTCACATCACAGAAAAACAACTGAACAATGCATACAACTGAAAAACTATGGACTAAAAGGATTTGACCTGGTGTATAAGGAGGGTTCTCCAAGTCATTGCTGGGGCAGCCATTGATAGACCCATCGAAGAAATTAGATGGTTCATTCATGTCCTAAAAAGAGAGACGACATTTGGACAGAGAAAGAAGGCAGCAGTTATACAGAGTACAGACAGAGTAAATGTTCAGACATTGATTTGATCATTAAAAAGAAATGGTCTGCACTTACAATCCACAGCCCATCAAAAGGGACTTTATCATGAAAGTTCTTCAAGTTTTGGTACCACCACTCGTGTGTGTCTGGGTTGGAAAAGTCTGGGAAAGCTGTAAGTCCAGGCCAAACCTGGAGAAGAATCAATCAGTCAGTAAATTAAAGTCCTATCAGACAGCACCTATTAAAGAACATGAATGCAAATGCGTCCTCAAACGTTCTGGAACGATGTTACATGAGCCTTTCATCAAAAGGATGGATTTGGGATAGTTTACAGCCTCGTGATCAAGGGCCTCATGTAGTACAAAGAGCAAATTTTTTTGGAGCAAAATTGTGTATTTGCCATTGTTTATTAGCTTGCACACATGGGTTAGACCTCTAAGATGGAGGTTTCATACACTGATGAATCTAAATTTGAAATCTTTGGAAATACTAAACCAATGAAAGACTCTCTGAACCAGGCCTACAACCATCAGTCAAACCTGGGGGGGCATCTGGAGTTGGTGATTTGCTTTTAGTTGAAGGCATCATCAAACAAATCTCAATAAATCATGCAATACCCTCTGGAAAATGTCGGACTGGGAAGAGATTCATTCTACAGCGATATAACGAGCCCAAACTCATTGCTGAGAAGATCAAGGCGTACTTATCAAACAAAGAAGCTGCTGATGTTCTCAGAACAATAAACCAGCCGCCCCGGAGTCCAGAACTCAACATCACTAATGTGTTTGGAATTATTTGGATTGTGAGAAGCAGAAAATGAAACCAACTTATAAGACAGAACTTTGGAGGTATAGAAAAGCATGCCTGCAGATTAAAAAAAAAAAAAAACAACTGAAAGCAATGTAATAAAGCCTGTAATAAAGGCAAAGGGTGGACACACAAAATGATTAGGCCTCTGTGTGATTTTCTATTAAATAGGTTTTCTGCTCGTTTTCCTGACCCTGAAAAATAAATAACTGCTACTTAACTGCTGTTGAACAGGACTATATCATACATACAGAGCGAAAATATTTAGAACATTTTTTTTTTTCAACAAAACATTTTGCAGACAAAATGACTGTAATATGCAAGTCCTATATAACTTTACAGGTTTCACACAATTAGCAGGAAACTACAAAGATCCAGAAAGATGAACAGAGCTGTAGAAGATTCTATAACAGAGAGCTGTACAGTACTCAGAATGAAGTTACAATAAAGAGAATATTCAGAATACCATATATTTGGTGATCAAATCTCAAGGCAGATAACTTTCAAATATTACTATATGTAAAGTAATTACAGCAAATTGTTTATCATTAAATAACTGTTTTCTGTTCTTGTTTTTTCCCCAAAAATACTTGAAATATTTCAGAAAAATAAAATACTGTTTTTTTAATTATTATTTTTATTATTCTACAATGTCAATGTCAATTTCCAATAGTTTAAGAATAACTAGTAGCTCTGCATCTTGAGATAGCCAGCTCAGATAGTCTAAAATGTGCAATTCTGGCTAAGGAAGAAATCTAGTTAAATCGAGTATGATTCAGTGCTGATGAAAATTATGGATTTGTGAGTCATGCACATAAACCACGTCTGCTGCACACCTTGCCGATGAGGGTGTCTCCACTGGAGGTGTTGATGAAGATGCCCTGCTTTATTCCCTCCTCAAAAGGCAAGTAGGAACCTGCTGGCTGAGTACTGCTAATGCCAGGATCCTGAACATAAGAGACAGAGCAACAAAAAAAAAATCTATTAAAAATATATATTAATGCAAGCAGACACTTACAGTGCCAGACAAAAGTTTGCACAATGTTACACAACAATGTATATTACACACATTTTGATCTAAACATGGTTTTCCAAATCCTACAGCACAGTCTAGAGTAGAGTAGTCTCTAGAGCAGGACTTCTTGGGTTTAAGACCTGAAACACCCTTCTGATGACACAAATCTCGAAGGTCAGAGAAACATCTGAAAAAACTGCTTCCAGATGGATTTTTGGGGGTGAGCTGTTTTTTTCATTAGCTGGTTGACGCAGAAGCCTAATATCACATCTGTATTTATTAGTCTCTAAATCAGTGGCTATCATCACAACAGTTGTATGAAGCATAACGCATGCTGGGTAGTGAAAGAACACTGATAGTGGATGATGAGGCTGAGAGACACAGCGCTGCTAAAGGTGTGAATCTTTGAGCTGACAGTGAATCAATTTGATTCAAGATTCATTGGCTGTTATCTTTGAGAATTAAAAACAGTTCTATTTTCTTCTACACGCTAAAGAGAGAGGATGGAAAAATAATTTTTGTCTACAAATATTACCTGGTTAAAATTATATATCCACAGTCATTCTCAACGTATGAGCCATCAGATAATTTGGGAAGGAGGAAAAAAAATGTTATTTCATATTATATTTCATATAAAACACATGGACATGCATGTTGGGTGAACAAATTCCCCCACCGAGAAAACTACCTCCCTACCCACATTTGAAAATTAAAAGGTGAGAAAAGCATCTACTAGAATTTACTTCTGAAACATTTTAAATTAAATCTAAACCTTAAGAAATCTAAAGTAAACATATGTTTTGATTCTCAACAAGTTCTGGATTGATAATCTCTTCTAAAATACGGCAAAACAAAGTAAAAAATAAAGCAAATCCTGCCTATGTGTGGACAAATATTTGACTACCAGAAAGCCACAGGCACAAAATGGATGGTCAAGCAAAGTGTGTTTACCAGAATCATGACATAGCGCTGGTTGTGTATGTGAAGGTCTTTCACGAGGTCAGGCAGGGTTGAAAATTTTACAGAGTCATAAGTGAAGTCCAGGGCACGGTCCATGTAGTCAATGTCATTCCACTGTACGTCCTAAAATACAAACAAACCACAGGCTGAAACTAACAGAATCTTATGATTTCCTTAATCATAATACATGTGCTCATGTGAGGCTAATGTCACAAGCACTGGATCACCTTCATTTATTTTCCCTGAGCTGAGATTGTTTTACAAAATATGAAGTAACAGAATGGACAACATAGTAAACACATGATACAGACATAAAGCAATGGTGAAGTAAGACATAAAATATAAACACAAAAAGTGCTGTGTATTTAGTGGTGTACTGATTTTAATGCCCTGGATTTACTGCTAAACTTAGGCCTCTTTAAATGCCTTTCAGGTTAATGGTTATTCAGAGTAAAAGAGTTTGAGATTTATCAGTGAAAGTCACTCTTAAGCAGTCATGAGGAAGCATTAGCGATTCAGAACTTCCTTGTGAATGACAACAGTCTCAGAGGTTAGCAGTTCAGAAGGAAATCTGTTGCCAATAAGAATATTAAACAGGACAATACTGAATGCATGAGATGATTTTAACTAGATAAGATTTAATTATACGAGGCCACCAACGCTCCCTTATCTTTTGTGCCTGTTTATGGATGAACAAATGTATCTTGATGACAGTCAGTGCAATAAACACTGCCTTATAAAATGACACGTGAGATACAGTAACCTACTTACGCCGCAGTGTGACCCAGAGAATAAACAAATCCCTTAATGAAATACAGCATATAATCCATTACTATGATCAATACTTTCCCTGTACTTAGAAATGAACAGAAAACAGGTTGATTCAAAACATTCCTAAAACTAAAAGTCAATATTATTATGTTACATCAGTACTGGTGTTGATGAAAGCCGCCTAGCACAACATAGAGCCCTATAAGAGGCCTCTAGCGCCCACTCTAAAAGAGAACTTCTAGCTCCCACACTCTCTTACTATGATTTCCAGCAGTGATTCTGAAATGAGAGTTTAGCACCACTTTAGAAATCAAGTACTTGCACTTAAAGTATCAGTATTTTATAATAAATTTATCTTCCTTTTCAGTCAATCTTTCTCACACAGAATTTACAATTGCAAAAAACTGAACAACTAGTGTACCTGAGGGATCCCATAGTTCCTCATTGCTCTCACGACATCCCAGGTGCTATTGCTGGAGTCGTAGCCCCACCGACAAAGATGATAACCCAAAGCCCAGTATGGAGGCATAGCAGGCTTTCCTAATTGGAGATGAAGACAAGAACAGACGGACAAACACAGACTGGTTACTAAGACACTGACTGGGATTTCATGCACTACACTTACTAATAAAATAAAAACACACCTACAACCTCCAGATACTCTCCAATCACAGAACCGGGATCAGGACCAAGAAAGATATACAAGTCCAGTATTCCTCCAATCGTGCGCCATGTGAGCGCAGGAGCCGGCTGAAGAACGACATCTGAAAAAAACATTTACATGAATGAAATGTAAAAAATGGTAACTGCTCTTAACACTAGCTAGAGTTAGCCTAACAACAAAGGAACCAGACTTACAGTGGAAAATTACTTATTTTTCCATAAAGCCAATATAATTCAACTTCCACGAGTTTTGCTGAACAGCTTGCTACTCCTAGGGCTGGGCGACAAGACGACAACGATAATGAGCTAAATGATGACTAGCCACATCAAACTTTGATAGCCAAGGATAAGTTAACTTTAGGACAGAGCATAATGAGAGGTAAGCTAAAAAGGTAAGACTGCAGAAATGCTTTCTCACTGAAGTAACAGGAAGAACAAAAAAAACTATCAAAAGAGGAACAACAGAAGTCGTAGGAACATTCACCATTTTCACTATTAATGGAAGGAGCCTAGCTTCTGGGACAAGAAAGCTAGCTCCAGTCACAAAGCAAAGTCTTGCACCACAGAACAGCCAAGTGATCACAAAACTGATGTTCTCTATGAAACAAATCCCCAGTCTGTGCAAACACCTAGGAAATCTGCTGTGTAGTAGAGGTATCTTGAAAATCCAGTCTAAAGAGATGACACAGAAGTCATTACACTCAAAGGGAACCAGAAACAAGTTTCTCACTTCTCCTATTTGGGGTTGGAATATTCACTCACAGTGACTGTCAGAAGCACATGAAATGGTTCACATGCATTGCAGATGTTGTGGGATGTTTTGCAGTCTAATGTAGCCAATGCTGCATTCCTTTAGTTCCTTTCCTTCTTCATGAAGTGCAAATATATGTCACTGTATTTTACTGTAAATTTTATGGTATTATGGTATAAAGTCCATGAGTGATAATGTTGCAGACGGGCAAATGGTGCAGGCATGCTTGTTTTACTGTTGACACACTTAGCCTTTGCATTAGAAGACTATACACAGATTATACACTGAACACTGTCATCAAAAGATTCCAAAAATCCAGAGAACAGTAAATAAAGTCACAAGGGCAGTGATTAGCATGTCTTTTTAACATGGTGGTATTTTCAGCGGTGTCCTGGGCAAGAGCCAAACAACATCAGCATGCAAATGAGGCCATACATATTAAAGACCCATGCCAAGTGAAAAAATTTAAATTTAAAATCTTGAAATTCAACTTTTAATTTTAGAAGCTATATTAAAGCATGCAAGACTGTGGCTGTACCAAGCCACACTGTGCAGGTGTTACAACAGTGTAGCTGTTGCAGGTGCTAGACTGGCCTGTCTGTAGTCCAGACATGTCTCCAATTGAATATGTGTAGCGCATTATTAAGGATGAAACACTCTCTGTGTTTGCGCAGCTAATGACTTGGCAAAAATTCCACTTTCAAAACTGGATCAGTTTGTGTCTTCAGTCTCTAAATGATTATTAAGTGCTGTTAAAAGGTAAGGTGATGTAACACTGGTAAACAGTGGTAAACATGCTCCTGTTTTTGGAAAGGATCACAGGCAAACTTTATCATTTCACACACTGTTCCATGTTTTGGGAATTGAGATTTGTAAAAACATACTTAATATGGTAACAAGTAACTGAACCAGTTTTATTCGACTCAAATACTTTGAATTGAAAAAATGCAAAGCAAAACTTTAGTGTGGATAAACAAATGCAATGTTTTACATTAATTCAAACTTTAACGACACCTCAAATCACCTTCTGCCCTGTTCTACTGTTTACAGAGTGCCATTTACAGCCTTTGCATGTTTTCCTCCTGTAGACTGACGAGCAGTAAAACTGCTGATGATAGTAAAAGTCCAGAGGGCACCACTTTTCTTTAGATCCTATTGTGAGTGCAAACCACTGTATTTTTGACAGCATAACTGCATACTAGACTGTCCAATTATTCTTAACTAAATATTCTTAAATAAATATCCCAAATAACCAATCCCACATCAGTGTAAATACACTGTGAAAGCTGAAGTTTGGAGACAACTTGCCTTCTTTCATACTTTGCAAAGTTAGGTCTAATGTTACTTTTGAGTGAAGTAAGGAAGAGTACCTGAAAAAACAGCTTCATGTTCATCAAGTTGCTCAAAGCATCAACAGTTAAATACTTGTTCAATACTACAATCAATTCAATACTTACCATGTTTCTTATTAAAATAAGCTAGCACTACATTGACGTTATACTTTGGTTGCATTTAAAGTGTTTTTTCTTGATAAAAAAAAATCCAATAAACATTCATGTTCAGACAATGGTGGGTGTTTTACTTTTTGCCTTTGTATCTTCTAATATGGAGCACTGATGCTACACTCGGTGTCCTAGAACTGTGACAACCCTGGTGTTTTCCTTGGAATGGTATGACGATTTTACCCAAATACTGATGTAACAGTTTACTTTTCCAATCTATTGATAACTAATACTGAAGCTATTTTGGGCTAAAGGTGGTTTAAATACCTGTTTGAGCGCTCATACAAGAAGGAGATCAAAAGTGTGGGCTCTGGTATTATTCACAAGGCACCTGTACTGTCAGTTGTTCCTTCAGTTTTCAACACATATATGCATGTTAAGTTATTGTAAATTGACAACTGTCCCTAAACTTATTACATATAAATATGCACGCAATAGCATAATTTCCTGTTAGCTTTTGTGCATTCGCAACTCACCCATAGCATTGCTGTTGAGTAAGAAAGATCCATGTGCCAGCCCATCAGGCTCCATAAGGAGATAAAATGGATGAACGCCATAAAGGTTTGTGAGCTCCTACAGGATGACAGTGAGAGCGAGACAGACAGAAAAAATGAATGCAGATAAATTTCACCAATATTGTTATTCTGAATCATCAATTTTCCAAAACCAAAACAAGTATGATTTACAAACTTAAATAACTGGGATGTCTCAAAAACAGCCATTCATTGAAAACATGCAGTTGCTTGCTAAGTTTGAACAATCTCAGTCAAGTAGTTAAAAATAAGAAAACACCTCCTCTACAGAGAACAAACGTAAATATCGCATTGTTCTGTAAATTTCAGTGCACAAGTTTAGCATAGGGGGAAAAAAATGATGAAACATAATGTGCTATAACTTTTGCACAGGCTACATTTTAGGGTTTTTTTTTCCGAATATGCTAAATTCTGCCAAAAAACAGTAATTGTGCATTACAATGTGCAGAAGTGTGATCTCTGGAGAGGATGTGTTCACTTATTTTCACTTGGAAAATCAACTAAACATGTAAATCAAGCAAACTTTTGCACACAACTGTATGTACATGATATCAAATTTAAAATTACAACAGGGTTTTTACCACAGGTGCTGCATCTCGAGCCCACATGGTCAGCGTGTTCCACTGCACATCATGCAGGAAGTTGGAACGATGTTCCCCCAGCCCGTAAACAAAATTCGATGGCAAAGATGAGGACATCTGCAGAAACTGATCCGCGTAGAAGAGTGGAGCCACTGTTGTGTTCAACCTTTAGACAAATTACAGAACAGATAGATATTAGACAGAGTACAATGCACACATCCAGACACTGTGTTATCCTTTAGGAACATCAGATCAGATCTGAAAGGTTGTTATTGGAGCCAGTCAAGGACAGTTTTATTGGATCACTCATGGCTATATTAACCCTGACCCAATTCTGAACCTTTGTTAACAGCATAACATTTACACCATAAACAGACTTGATCCACAACTTGCAGCAGTGAGCAGGGGTGCATCACGGGTGCATCATTCAAAAACCATAGAGGGGCTAGTGAGATCGGATGGTCGGGGGAGCATTACATCTACATGGTTTTCATACATATAGTTGCTCAGGTCAAAATCTTAAATATTGGAAAAAAGTTGAAAATGAAAAAAGACAAACAGTCACACTTGGAAGTCACTATTAAAAAAGTATTAAAGGGCCCAGCTGTATGGAAAAGTTCAAACACCTCCAGTCAAATGACATGTTTTGTTGATGTTCTAAGTGACCATAAGTTAACACATCCACTACAAAGCATTTAAAACAGGACTTAAATATGGCATTTTCCTGCAAACCTTTATTTAGTTTTACATATTGGAGAAAAACATAAAATAATACGAAGTATATGTCTCAATATAAAATGTGCCATAACTTTTTGCACATAAATCTACAAAATGAAAAACAAAAAATACCATAATAAGAGAAATAATCATAATCAAATTCGTACACAGCACTTACAGCACCGCGCCGTTTTGTTTTCTCTTGACAACGATCCCGAACGGTTGCTTGGAGAACTCCACAGTATACAAGGGATCTGGAGCCTTTTCTTTGACCACAGGCACATCTATGGGAACCTCATACCTCTGCTTTGCCGGGTCCGTTACCTGAAAAACAAGAAAGAAAGTAAAAAACATCTCACCCAAAATATATAATCTATACCAATGTTCTCCTTAGCCCAGAACAGCTAGGACATTCTTGGTATCTGAAGTCTGCTTCTTTCATTTTGCACTGAAGCTATGAGGCTAATGTAACTAGCATGAATGCCTATGTTTATCAGTTAGCATCATGCAAACTGCATATACAGTTCCCTCAACCCACCTTAAGCAGTTCAGTAATCTGAAATGGACTTGCTTACGTGTTTTTGACGCTGTACAACATACTGTTATCTTTATAAAGAATAGCTCCAGAATAGTTAAAGAATAGCTAAAACAGCAAAAACAACTTAATGCCTGAGTTCAGTGTAGTTTTAGATGATTGTATGTAATAAACTGTCAAAAACCACATAAAGTCTATTTGGTTACTTAGCAACTGGACTTTGAGGCAAGTATACACATCAGCCACAACATTAAAAACACCTCCTTATCCATTTTATCAGCTCCACTTACTGTATAGGTGCACTTTGTAGTGCGACAAGGTAGGAGTGTTTAACAGAGTGGACAGTGAGTGGACAGTGAGTGGACACAGTGTTTAAAACTCCAGCAGCACAAGAGGCTAACTGGTAGATTAGCATCATAGCTTCAACTGAAGAAGCAAACCAAACATGTCTAGGCTGGTTAGGAGGTTACATCTGATTCTGCACCAACCTATTACTTGCATATTTAACGTCCACTCGATTAGTTGTAAAGACAGCACACTAATGAAAAGCAAACAATACTAAACAAAACCCAGTTCCCCACCTTCACACGCAGCCTGCTGTTGGACTCATACAGCACATCCAACTGCAGCGTCTCTATGTCGTTAGGGTAGTAGGCCTTCTGCAGACGGATCAGCTTCCCACTGTAGCCCATTTCCGTCTCGTTAATAGCCGCCAGCTCATAAGACGGAAAGTCGGGTGGATAAAAGCACCACGGCACTCCGTTCTGCTCTGGTGAATCTGCCTTCGATACTTGTATGAAGCAACAGTTCCTCTTATGGCACAACTCCTCGGTTACGACAACACTTCGCTCTGGGTAGCAGTCAAACCTCCAGGCTTCTGGAATAAGGGAGCAGGATTCTGGCTGAGGCCCACCCTGCCACCCCTTGCTCTGGCCTGAAGGAGACACAGGTGGTGGAGGTTTGTGGGTTCCCGTGGAAGGCGGACCACGCAGCCAAAATACAGTGCCCAGCAGCCAGACACCAAAGACCACCACAATAAGCCCTCCAAGGGTCAACAGAGCAACAGTGACAGTGCACTGGGGTGTTTGATCCAGCAGCGGACGCTCTGGGTCTTCTGCCTTCGTCTCAGCATCCCCTGAATCGTCAGGCGGGGGCTCCAACAAAGCAGCGCCGGAAAACCGAACCTCCTCAGGGTTCAGCCTCTTGTAGGATACCATGGCTGGTGGCTGAGGATAGAAGGAGATGGAATAACAGTGTTAAACCTGTGCCAGCAGATAATGTCCTGAACGGTCATCCAACAACACAGTACTGACTGAATCACACTGAATTACATTTCTTAATTACTGTTCGCCTGTGAACATCTTTAATATCCACTTAGCAGATTTGTTTATGAGGGAATCTTGGGGAAGATGTTTTAACCAGGGATGTACTATGATATTGGAATTAAATCAGCATCTGCAAATGTTTGTTTTGACTTGACTGATACTTCAACCTGATATTTGATACTGTATTTATTGTACTACGTTAAGAGCTGAAAGCTGAGACACTAAAATGTCTGCATTTTATTCATTTTATAGCATTTGTAACCCTTTAGTAACCCTCAAGTGCTACATTTCTCTGTGATGAAGTGGAATTTCCACATTTTATAAATGTTTATGCATCGATATCGGCATCAGCAGATACGCACACGACAACTCCCACTTGGATAGTTTCAAGACTTCAGGATATTTGATGATGGAACTGGCAATTAGTGGTAGTATTTTTAAAGACTGACAACTTTTTTTCCAGACTTTTGCAGAGAAATTGCTTGACAATACTTGAAACGTTGCATAAAAACTATAGTTGAAACATTTTGACAGGAAAAGGAAATCGCTGTGTCAGTAAAATATCTTCGAGACGGGACGTGGGCAACATTGCGCGAAAGCCCTGTTTCGCAACGACTGAGAACTGCCATGCAGACTGCAGGTCACATAGCAACGATGCATTATTTGCATTTATAAGCAGCGCAGTTGGTTTCCTGGCAAGTTAAATCTGCAACGAGAGTCTGTCAAACAGTAAAAAGTCACAAAGATGAAGTCGCTTCTCCTCCGAATTTTCTCGTTCCACCTTAAATTGTGCCGCATTTATATTCGGCGCCTCAGTCAGAATTTAAGGTGGAACGGGAAAATTCGAACAAGAAGCTGGAGAATAAGAAGCAACTTCAGCCTCGTAGACAGCCAAACGTTAAGAGACATTTTACAAGAAACTGCTCTAGTTTTGAGGAAATGTTTTCTGGTGGAGATGGGAGGAAAGCGGCTAAAGCTAAAGTTTAAAGCAGAGCAAAGTAAATCTGCATTTTCGTTTATATTGTTTAGCCTATTCTAGGACATTATCACATACTGAGACATACTGGACATAACACGTTGTGGCTCCCAAGGTGGTTTGATTTTTGTTGAAAGGACAAAATGGCTCTTCTTATCATTTGTGTTGTCGACCCCTGATCTAACCTGGCTTTTAATGCAGACGGAGCCGGTCGGATTTCTTGATCATCCATGTGTGTTTTTGTTCTGTGCCGCCACAGACTGTCCGGGCGCTGAACTTCCGCACTTCCAAGTTCCGCCTTTTGCATTCCGTCAACGTTACGCTATAAATCAAATATTTAGAAAATCGATTTTTAACATTTGCGAATCGATTCAGAATCGTTCACGTCCGCATCGTGATGCATCTAAGAATCTTTTTTTTCCTGCACCCCTAATCACGATACTTAAAGGTGTTTTTACGATATATGAAGCATATTACGATATGCTCATACACAAACACAACACACCAGTAGTGTCACATTTAAAAACTGCCATCAAAACTCTGCATACAATGCTTCTTATTCAATGTTTCACATGCTGTCTTGCATTAAACTAATTAAACAGGACGAACTGTGCTCTTTTCATGGAACATGCAGTTGAGCGTTCTTCAGGTAGGGACCATATCAACAATAAATTTGATGTAAACTTTGCTACATACAAAGCAAATGTCTAGGTTTAACCCAGCTATGAATGTACAGTGATCAGCTACAACATTGACACCACCTCCTTGACTCCACCCTCATTGTCCATTTTATCAGCTCCATTTATCATATAGAAGCACTTTGCAGTTCTACAATTACAGACTGTAGTCCATATGTTTCTCTGCATACTTTGTTAGCCCCCTTTTACCCTGTTCTTCAGTGGTCAGGACCATCCCAGAGCAGTTATTATTTGGGTGGATCATTCTCAGGAATGCAGTGACACTGACATGGCGGTGGTGTGTTAGTGTGTGTTGCACTGGTGCGAGTGGATCAGACACAGCAGTCAACCAAAAATATCCAGCCAACATCGTCCTGTGGGCAGCGTCCTGTGGGCACTGATGAAGGACTAGAGGATGACCAACACAAACTGTGCAGCAGCAGATGAGCTATCGTCTCTGACTTTACATCTACAAGGTGAACTGACAAGGTAGGAGTGTCTAATAGAGTGGACAGTGAGTGGACACAGTGTTTACAAACTCCAGCTGATCCACCACCTAAATAATACCTGCTCTGTGGTGGAGCTGTGGGGGTCCAGAACATTAAAAACATTGTCAAAATTGGCAGATAAACAAATGGACTACAGTCTGTAATTGTAGATCTACAAAGTGCTCCTATATGGTCAGTGGAGCTGATAAAATGGACAATGAGTGCCTCTGTAATAACTGTCCTTCATCCTCTGATAAGCCTGGAGATATTTTGGTCAGACATGAAAGACAACTGAGTATCACTCGTGGTCAGTTCTTCTCCTCATAGATCAGCCTAAATCATGCATTTGATGTCCTGACCAATACGTCTTAGATAAACCGCTGACAATGCAAACTGAGAGGTCAGTCACGAGTGTGACAGAGGTGTTGCACAAACACGGAGACAACATAAAGCTTATCTGTTGAGTAAATCTATGTAGTTCAATATGCTGGTCAGTTCATTTAGTGAAATAAGGCTTTCATATTTATTCTACCACCTGATCATCATGCAAAACAATCTTATAACGTGTATAATGTGTACTGGAAATCCTATTTCCACTGGAAACCCCCCGTTTATTACTGCCTTAAAATACAGCAGTCTTTATCGTCAAGCTAGCAGGCAGACAGAGGAGTCAGTGAAGGTTACATTGTATGTATCCCCTTCAGCGACAGTGATTATTTATCAATAAGGTATGGCCCGAAATTACTATATTGAGGCCACAAGGTATGAGAAAATTAACTCGTGGCTCCAATATAGATATTTGTGGCCTCAATATATTAATTTGAAGCCACACCTTATTAAAAAATAATCACCATGTCACTTTAGGGGCTTCGTAACTTTTAGCTTTCGAGGTTAGCTAATCTAACTAGCTAGCTGGGTTGACGTTATTTTTATGTTTTTTGACGACATTACAACTAAAAACGTCATTTTTTTCTGCAAACAACAGCAACATACGCATGTACCAATATTTCGGACCTTATTTTAAGTCAAAAATAGGGTAAAAAAAGGTCCGTCAAAGCAGAGAAAAATGACAAGTTAGGCGAGGCTAACGCTAATTCCGTTGGTTTTACGTGAAGTAACGTTTACTGTTAACGGCAGGTTGGCGTTATTGGCGTTATTAGCTTTAACGTTGTTTGAAAAGCCACAAATTGAAGTCGGTGCTGCGTGAGGTAAACAGTTTAAAGCTTTACAGTAAAACCAAAATGTAATACATTGTGGTTTTATAAACGCAACCACTCAGTAATTTAAGTAAACTGTTATCCAGCTACGTTAATTTTTTAAGCGTCAGGTTCGCTAAGTTAACGTAAGTGGAAGAAACTCGCAGTGTCAAATAACGTAACCTAGCTAGGTTAGCTTAACTAACACAAAACGATATCAAGGGTGTCTAATTCTCTCAGTTCTCATACTGTTCAGCGTCTAATTGTAGACTTTGAAAAATAAAGTGTCGATAATATTCAGGTCAAACCCTAAAACCAGTCTTTCGAAGTTACGCCACACTAAAGGTGCCTCATATCACGTATAATAACAATCAATCTAGGTTAGTTAAGATAGCTAAGCAACCTTGTATACTGGCCAGTCGGAAAACAAGCTTTTAATCCGATTCAGATTATTTAAATTGCAGCATAAACCTACCTGAGAGTATCTTCCGACTGAAGACAATATGGTCAGTAAACCTTACATGCCGGGCCGAGCAACAATAGTCTTTATAGCCAGGGAAAAGTCTGACCTCTCCGACAAACACAGCCTACTTCTTTTATGTTATTGATGGGCGTGTTCCGACGTAAACGCTGACCGTGTCTCAAATGTCTCCCTACTCCCTAGGTAGTGCACTACACCGGTTACGATATACTGGTTTCAACGCACATCTAGTGCACTGCATGTCCACTAGGTAGCAGTTTGGGACTCAGCCGGTCCCAAAAGCGAGTTAAAGCGAATCAGCGCAGGACGGCTTTACGCGAAGAAGCACTCTTCCATCTAGTGGCCTGGAGATCGTTTAAAGGGCCCGAATTTTAGAGTTTTCTTTCATTCCCCACCCCCGAGGTCCATTTGTAACGTTTGTGAGAGTTTATGTGCCAAAAGCAGTCGTAATTCATTTGTGCACGATCACTTAAAACTATCTTTATCCCTTACAGTGAAACAGGCTGCTACTGTTACTACGTTATTAAAGGGGAACTCCACCGATCTTTCAAAATTCTGCATAATGCAACTTTTAAGATGTAAACAAAATCATTCAGAGTGGTTTGGTGCGAAATGCTCCGTTCTAGAGAAACTTTAGTTTTGTTCTCACTGGTGGTGATGGGAACCAGACGTCTGAAGAGTCTAACGCCTCTAAAATCTCCCTCACAGAAAGTTACTGCAGGAGATAGTTATGGTTATTGTAAAGCTTTTAGTCTAAAACATAGTGGTGCACTATACAGCATATTGGTGTATTATGCAGTGTTTAGTGGTTCATTTTGCAGCATATAGAGGTGCAGCATGTAGTATACAATACGTACTTGTACTGTATGCTGTTGTATATAGTAGTGCAGTATGTAGTGTACAATATGTACTAGTGCAGTATGCTGTATATAGTGGTACAGTATGTGGTATACAGTACACAGTATGCTATTTGGAATTGGAAAACAATGCTTTGGACCCAAGCTAACACAGAAACTGACCTAAAATACTGTAATAATCCACAGATTCCAGCAGATGGCGCTATCATCCAACACATTGATCAGCTAAAGCGAAGGACTGATTGTTAAGAATGTGGTTAAAAAAGAAAACCCTCCTTCCACTCGGCCACCAGGACAACAAAGCTCAGTAATCACATTACGCACCATAACAGCCTTTCCTTTATTATCATTTAAAGCAGTGGTTTATCCCATAGTTCATTTAAATCAAATATACACTAATTAAAAAGTTTCCTCCTTACCCCAAATGTAGTCAGTCAGCCAAGACAGTGTCTGAAGTGTGCTTCTTTAGTTTTGCACTGGAGAAAGCCACGAACAAATGCTAAGCTAGCAAACATAACTAAGCTAGCAAGAACGTCCATTCGGCCAGTCCTTCGGTCAAACGCCACACCAGCATTCCCCGGATCCACATGAAGTAGATTAATGTGGTTAAATTAGGTGAATGAGAGCCTTACCTTCTTTAAGATGTCTCCATATAAAAGCTAAATGTTGAGCCTTGGACACAGTGGAGCAAGAGCACCTGCATACGTAGAGCATATTCCCACATTTTTAATGTTTCACGCTCTGTTCTCTGGGACTTTAAGTTGTTTTGGCCATAGTAGCCTACAGTTTGAGATGCTGGTGTTATTACATAAAAACATTTAAGCTTAGTAGTAGCCTTACTTTCATGCAACGTCAATTGCTAGCTTGTTAGCTTGCTTGTAGCATGTAGCAATATTCATATTTCAGCTCCTTAGCAGCTTCACAATGCAGAGGACACATTGACACGTGTGGGAAATGTACGTACAAGAGATATTATTTATTTTACACCATTTTTGTTTAGGTGCAACAGCAGCAACGTCGAGGACAGCAATTAGCGACACAGCTTCAAGGGTCTTTTGTGCAGCTTGTCTTGCCAGGCCAAATGTAATCTCATAATAAGAGTGTTGTTTGGGGACAACCTGTTAAACTTTTGGTGCTGGTTTCGCTGCTAAAAAGGGTAAAACCCACCCCAAATCCCTCAAGTCCATGCTCTCTTTAACATATGGAGTACAATCAATAACACAAGTGAAGCGAGCTAGCTAGCAAAATGCTATCATAAGCTCATGTTCATTCTTTAGATTGAAGATTTGGCTTGTTTGCCAGCAAGATGTGGTCAAAGTTTAGTTTAATGAGCCTGACCAGCAAAATCAGAACACAAAATCAGTGGTCTTAGTCCTATGTCCAGTACTGTGCATAATAAAGGAGAAAGGTTGTTTTTTGTTGGCTGTTTACGCACAGAAATGGGTGAGAATATAGCTACAAATTCAAATTCAGACTTACTGGAATAGGAATGGTGGCCTGTTGGAATAGCTGTGGGCAAAGATCACACTGTTGATCAGTGCTGAGTGTATTCATGTATTTGTAACGTTACTGTTGCGTACCGTGGATAATGGGTGTGCTTTTCGCACACTTTTTAGTGAGCGTGATGGCACATTGTTTCGCTCGAATGCAAATCCGAGAGCTGGTCTTTTCTCGAACATAGCTGCCGATTCTTTCTACGTCACTTTTACTCTGGCTGTACCGTCACAAGTGTGAACAACAGAGGATACATACAGCCGCTGGTAAACCATCGTCAGCTTTTATACTTTACAGCTAATGCATAGTCTAGTTTAATGGGACGTTTTTTTGAGGAGCAAGAGGTAATGTTTAGGTTTGCTGGATGTAATGCATTCCCTGCACAGATGACACACATTTACATGCTTAATTGAAGTTTATGGGTGGACCTTTCAGCCACGTTAGCTTACGTTACAATCATGGGAGCTAACGACAGACTTGTTTTCGGGAATTGCTGATGAGCGCAACTTCACCTCCTGCTTTGAGCCCCTCCATTTGTTCCAACCCAAATAAATCTACGTTCCCACCAACATGTAACTAAAAATTCTCATGGTTGTCCCCAGACATGCTCTGGTTCTGTAAGCAGGTGGGCGATATGGCAAAAAATGTTATAGCATGATATTCAAGGCATTTTCATGAGACACAATATGGATCATGACATTTAATTTTTATAAGACTTAATAAGTTGAAACAGACAAAATATAACCTGGAGTGCCACATATACAATACTATTGTAATAAGAATAAGCCAACAACAACTACAATGATCTTTATCCAATGTTTTACAAATTCACTATCACTCACCATCTAAGGCGCTTATCGTCCTGGGTTACAGGGGGTGCTCAGCACTTACTGGGCAAAAGGCATGAAACACCCTGGACAGGTCGCCAGTCCATCACAGGGCAGACACTCAGACATACACACTCATACAGAGCAATTTAGTATTTCCAACTGGCCTGATTGCATGTCTTTGGAATGTGGAAGGAAGCTGATGCAGACATGGGGGGAACATACAGCCTCCACAAAGAAAGGACCCCAGTCGCCCGGCCGGAGAATCGAACCCAGCGCATTGCACTATATATACAGGCCTAATTGTACTTCCTTTGCAATGAAGCATGCAGGTAGTCAGTTTTCTTTAAATACTGACGATAACTATGATATGCTCAGAAAAGCATATTGTCACTTAATTTATCACAGTAACGATAAAATAGTGTCATATTGCCCACCCCTATCTGTGAGTCCACTGCACAGCCTGGGACTGCTAAGTCTTCCCTCTGTTTGATACAAACCCAGTGACGGTATTGATTGCTTTTTGGCCTGAAATGGCTTTGATGGTCAAAAACACATGTTTTTTCCTGATTTTCCTTAAGGTACTTGTTTGGAAGCCACTATACCAAGAGTAACTAATCTGGTACAAATATATCAAAACCACACAGTAAGAGTAATGTGTGCAGAGGCTTGAGAAGCTTCTCTGGAGTAACCCGACTCCAGCACAGAAAGAGATTTTAGAGAACTGGTTACAACAAGCCAAAGTTGTGATACGAGAGTATGAGTAGTCAAACAGAGAACGGCAAAAGAGAATAGCTGAAAGCCTAAAAGGCCCCAGGTTAGATCATTTAAGCAGTAAGAGCCAAGCTGAAGCTAGCCCCATTGGATAAATAGCAGACTCTTATATGGTCCTTTATTTTGCTTTCAGAACATCATCCCAGCAGCCTGGTGAATGTCTTTAGATGGCTGTAGCACTTAGTTGGAAATGCCATTGAACTTGACCTCAAGCTAATACATCTCAGACTGAGGGAGAAAAAGAATCATCCTCCTGCATTTCTAAAGCTCAGTGAGATACATGAAGAAGAGCGTGGAGCAGTAAGATGAATGTAATATGGCAGCACACCATCAGCAGGTCTACACAGCCTATCTGAAGGAAGAAGTGAGGTACAACCCCACTAGAACATGATACATTTTCACAACCCTACTCTTTATTTTGTCATAGCTCCATAATTCTAATTCTTACTTACTTAGCACACAGCCAGCTGTAATAGGTAAAATGAATGCACATCAATATACTGTATACAGTTGCATATTATTATACTTCCAGTGCATATATCCACTTTACATTCATGCACACAAGTTTAACATATTAATGCAACAAAAATAAAAAGTAAAAATGTTGGGCACTTTCTATGAATACCATGTCTATAAGGACCTATGAATGCATTCTTAACACATTATAATGCAATCATAAGGCATCCTAAACATGGATAAGAATATTTATAAAAATGCATTACACTGTATAGCCATGCTTATTATGCATTATGAATTTTTAACATTATGCATTAAAAGTAGTGTTAATAAAGTTGTATTTGTCAGCTAATAACAAGTAAAGTGAGGCATACTGTACTAAAGGCTCCTCTAATATTATGAGTAAAGCTTCAAAATATAAAGTAAAGCACATTACAAGCTTCAAATGTCAGAGTTTAAACTCCATTGGTAGTATTTTACCCAGCATGGGAAAGGTAATGTACACCACCGTTAGCTTGACACTAACTTAACACTGCATATCCAATAGAATGCTAGAACCAGTGAGGGAGCAAATTATAGTGGTAGCACTCTACTAACTTTCCTCTCACTCTCCATACCTTCACTCCACAGTAACTTTACAATCAGTGTGATGTCAGAGGGGGTTTCACTTTCACCGTCCACTTTACTTTCAAGTTAAATCTTTACATTTCAGTGGT